AAAAAAAAAAAAAAAAAAAAAAAAAAAAAAAAAAAAAAAAAAAAAAAAAAGAAAGATTTTTAACCACCTCATTCTCTACACTGGAGATTATCTCAAGTTTTATTCCCAAAATTTTCCCTCCCTGTCCACTACTGATGGCCTCAGTTTACCTCAATATATTCATTCTCTCCCTGTAGATTACTATGATTTCACTCCCATAATTTTCATTACCTGCCCACTACTGATTATGTAATTTTTACCTCAAAATCTTTCTCTCCCCTACAGATTAACTCACATTTTATGCCCGAAGTGTTCATTTTGTCCCCTCAGATTTTTCCTCCAAAATGTTCCTTGTCCCTTACACTTTACCTCAAGTTTTGACCCCCAAATTTTCCCTAACTACTCAGTTTACCTCAATCTGTTCATTCTCACCCCTATAGATCACCTCAAGATTTAGCCCCAAAACTTTCCCTACCTGAGTGCTGGCAAAGCCAGTCAGAAAGCATCAGTGATTTGAGAAATTAGGAAGAAAAACTAGGAAAAAAATAAACCCTATTTTTAATTTTTAGCTAATTACCCATGGGAGAAGCCCTTTTTACGTGACTCCATCTGAATTTGAAGATCATTACAACCAGGAGAGGGAAAAAATCAAGAATTTTGTTAGAGGTCAGACTTCCAGGTTTTACTTCTGTGCTGAGCTCAGTGCAGTCAGGGCAGCCCCATTCCCCAGAAGCTTTTGGAATCATAATTCCCGACCAACCCTGGCCACTCCTCCACAGGAACTGTGGTGTGTAAAGGGCTCCCTGGCCCTTTGGGTTGGGGTCACGGGGAATCTGCAGAGCATCCACGCTGTGTCAGGTCCAGGCAGGGCTGGCTCTCATCCTGCTCCATTCTCATGTTCTTTTCCAGAGCCACATTCCCCTTCCGGCCTCCGGGCGCCTGTCAAGTCCTGCCAGTACAATGGGACAACCTACCAGCAAGGGGAGATGTTCAGCACCAGTGAGCTGTTCCCCAGCCGCCAGCCCAACCAGTGTGTGCAGTGCAGCTGCTCCGTAAGTCACCTCAGAGCCCATGAGAGGTGGGGAGGGCTCGGGCTCTGCTCCTGCACCCCAACACTGTCCCACATGAAGACCTGGGGGTACCAACCCATGGTAGTTTATCATCAGGATCAGGTTATCAGTGCAGAAGAGAGATTTGTCGGAGATCACATGGGTCGGTTTTGGGTGGGCCCCATGGGGCTGCTTGGGGTGGGCAGGGGGACTGTCCCCATCGAGCATCCCAGTGCTCTGGGTCTGTGTCTGACAGCATCCGGCTGGGATGGTGGGCCCCCAGGGAACCTAGAGGAGCTCAGTGTGCCTGCAAGGCAACATGGACATGAGGTGCCTGCGCTTGGGATTCAGAGGTTCTTGGAATCCATAGTTTTGTAGAAAGGCCTGTATTGGGAGGGATCTTAAAGCTTATTCTACTCCAACCCCCTGCCATGGGCAGGGACACCTTCTGCTATGTTACTCCAAGCCCTGTCCAACCTGGCCTGGAACAATTCCAGGGATGGGGCAGCCACAGCTTCTCTGGGCAATCTGTGCCAGGGCCTGACCCCCCTCACAGGGAAGAATTTCTTTCCACTATCTAAACCAAATCTCCCCATGGAATATCGACCCTGCTGTTGAGTTGCTGGGATTGAGCTGAGCTCCAGAAGGGATTTGTTGGCTCCCAACCACCTTTGGATGCCTCAATCTCTAAGGGCCCCCAGCTGCCTCTGGCTCATGCCTTGCATGGCTGGAGCTCCCCCAGGAGATGACAGCAGAGACACAGGGTGGTGGGCAGTCAGAGATAGCAGTGGGATGGCAAGTGGATCTTCGTCTCCTTTGCTTGGGTTTAAGTGGAAGCTGAACCCAGGGCTGAGGTGTGCTTGAGCACCAGGAGCTGGGCTCCTCTAGAATCTCCTGTAGCATTCACTATCCCTCTGGGCCGGCAGAGATGGGCTCTGCAGGAGGGCTGAGCATGTGCTTTTCAGGCTGTCTACAAAAAGCATTTGCAGGAAGCAGCTCCTGAACATGCTCACTTCCAATGACCTTTGGCAGGACCATTGTATTCCCTTTTTCCCTGATGGTCCTGATTGTCCTACCTGAGGGCTGTGACGGTAGCCAGGACGGCCTCAGTGTGCATCTCAGTGATCATCCACCACCTACTGCTAACTCTGTTGGGATGTTCCTTCTCTAGCAGTGCCCTGAGACAGGACTTGGCTCTGCTCTACCCAGCCCTCTCCCAAGGGTTGGGATCCTGAGAAAATCTATCAAAAACTGAGTTCTGACACCTTCTCAGGAGGCATGAGGTCAGCAGTGATGGGAAGGTGCATGGAGTGCCAGGAGCTGAGTGTCAGGAGATAAATGGATCAGCTTCTCCTCCTTGAGACAGAGTGAGGATGGGGGACTGGGAGTGCTGACACTGGATTTGGACACTGAAGAACTGCTCACACTGATTGCTGCCTCTGCCATGAAAAAGAAAGAGAGTTCCAGGTGTGGCTTTCACCACCATCATTCAGAGCCCTTGGGTGGGCCCAACCTCCACAGCCCCATGCCTTGCTTGCAGCAAATAACTGGACTAAGTTTGGCCAGGAAAGAATAAAGAGGCAGGAGAGTCCAAACCACCTCCCTCTCTCGGGCCAGAAGCACACACACACGGGTTACACCAATGTTTGGTAGTAAAGTATCCATGATACTGGAATAACTGCTCTGTGCGCACACCTCAGAGCTTGGTGGCAAGAGGAATAGCTCAGATGTAGAAATTATACAGTTTTTGAGGCTGGTCCCTCTCTTAGGGACCCCAGATGGATGGTGGAAACACCAGGAAGGAGGTCTTGGATCCTACTCCTACACCTTGCCCTGCTTTCCGACCTCATCCCCAGGAGCCCGTGGAGTTCTGCGTCGTCTCGGCTGTCACTCAGGCTCTGTTTATTCAGCAGGATAATGCCTTGGATATGACGGAGAAAATAAAAGCCTGGCTGCGGAGGGGTCTCTGGGCTGTGTCTGCTGTCAGCTGCTGGAACAGCTGCAGGAACAGCTGGCCTAACCCTCTTCAAAAACCGCCCCGAGACTGGTGCCTCTGGGATAAATCCTGCTTTTTATGACATTTGCCCGAGGCAGGTCATTGCTGTGAGCTGCTGGTCAGAAGGAGGAAGAAGGAAGAGGCAGGTCTGGACTCCACGAAGAGGAGAACAGGGTTTGGTTTGCTGTGAGCTCCACCAAACCCTGTTGTTTTACAAATTTTCCTCATGCTCCTCATGTTCCTTGTGCAAGCCATTTGGCTTCCTGGTGGGAGAAGAAGCCGTTTTGGTTTGGTTTTCTAAGGATATCCTTGTTTGACCTCTTGGTTTTTGTTCAGTGGGAGCTTGTGGACACCCCAGAGAAAACTGCTGTGTGAAGAAGAGGACCTTGCTGTTGAGCTCTGGCTGCTGAACATCCTATTTTACCCTTCTGCAAAGCAGCAAAAAATTAGTCCTGCACTGCAAATCCACTGCCTGAAGTGGGACTGAGATGTACTAAGGTCAAGACTGGTCTTGATCTGTGGTTTTCAGTTTGAATCACTGCAGGAATGAAGTTTCCAAACCAACCACCCAGCCTGTGGAAGAACATCCATCCACAGCTCTAGAGCTGTGTCTGTGTGCTTGGCTCTGGTGTTATTAAATAACGCCAGGCAGAGGGAGGGCAAAGTTTTGACGAGGACCTGTGTCTGGGTTCGGCATCAGGCTTTCCATTTCCACCTGTCTGCTCCAGGTCCTTTTCCTGGGAGACGTCAGAAAAAATCTTCTTGTGCCCCTTCAAAGCAGGGGATTGTTATGCAGAGTTTAAAGGTGTGTCATGGCCTTTTCAGGTCTGGTAGCACTAATCATTGGTGAGGTTTGAGGATGGACTATCAGGGGTTTGGTTTGGAAGGGATTTGAGTCTCATCTAGTCCCACCCCCCTACCACGGCAGGGACACCTTCCACTAGACCAGGCCCATCCAACCTGGCCTTGAACACTTCCAGGGATCCAGGGGAAGCCACAGCTTCTCTGGGCAACCTGTGCCAGATCCTCACATGGAGGAATTTCTCCCGAATGAATTATGGTGGATCTGCAATTTGAAGTGCTGGCATCCCAACACAGGGGACATACAACCTTTTGCAATGCTGACAATGATTTTTTTCCCTCTCCTGCTCTCCTAGGAAGGCCAGATTTACTGCGGCTTGGTGACCTGCCCGAAGCTGTCGTGTTCCTCTCCGTTAACCGTGACGGATTCCTGCTGCCAGGTCTGCAAAGGTAATGAGGCTGGGGGTGAGGATGGGATTCTCCAGTTGGTTGCCACTTGACAGCAGGAGCCATTCCAAGCCACTTTAGCAGGATTTTGGAGGCCTGTGCCATAAATCAGGCCACTTCCTACTGCTTGGTTGTACCAGGAAACAAAGATGGGGGCTTTTTCCTTGCATGTTTCCCCTCTCTCACTGAGTTGTGATCAACATTCCTGTAGCCCAAAAGCTGGAAGGGCTGAACTCTTTGCCCTGCCACTGGTGCACTGTGCAAAGATGGGACCTGTGTGGAGGGAAGTCCTCCAGGCCGCTCATCCACCAGGACCATGTGAAGGTGATGCATTCTACTGTTGCTCCAGGGAAGTTTCCAGGACAGTCAGAGAAAACCCCTCTTTCCACCCCATTACAGCGTGGCTGAGTTTCACTTTTACAGCTCTCTGTGAGGGACAAATTCTTGAACTTGCTGCTGTTTCCCCTGTCTTACATCTGGGAGAGGGAGGAGAGATGAGACAGATCCGAGAGAGAGTGGGCAGGTTCACACCCTGCTGACAATGAAGTCACAGCATAAAATGACTCTTTAATACAAGAGATATTTATGAAGCTGGAAGGCCATGGCTGTCTCCTGACCATGAGCACAGAATGATCTCCTCCAGGTACCTCCTCCAAACTCTCCCCTTCTGCCATTTGTGTTCCTCCCTCCTGGTTTTCTTTGGTGCAGCTGGGACATGTCACTGACTCTGTGAGAAATGTCTTTGGATTTATTTTTAATTATTCCCCATCACCTCTTACTCTACCTCTGGGGTGTTTTTCATGCCATCCAACTTCAGAAGCTTCAAAGTCATGTCTTTCCTGGAACTGAGTTGTTGTTGCTAGTGGGATAAAATGTTTTTCTGGGGTATGACTCCATCTGCTTTGGATAATATGAACTGCATGTTCAAAGTTCTCCTCTTTCCAGATCTCCCAGGTGGGCCAGCATCCAGAGGAGCGCTGGTTCCAGCCAAAGAGAGAGCAAATCTCCAGCCAGCATCTCACAGGACAATGTTTTTCCCTTGCAGATGGCTCCCATGAGAAGTCCACAGAGGAGGAACCCCTGCAGTTAAACAGAGGTGTTGTACGTGACATTTGCATTTTAAAACTCAGGTTATTGCTTCTGGCACTCTGCAATTAAACAGCTCAAAGAATGCCCTTGGCCATTGTCTTCTACAAAGAAATGACCCCCACCAGCTTTTGGAGGGCACTTCGGTCCTTGAACAGCAGAACCATGGGAACCTGGTTTGCAGGGGAATCATGTCTTGGAATTCAGTCTAGGTGAGGCATATCAGCACAGGTGAGACCTCAGACCACCAGGGAAAGACTCTTCTCTTCCTTTGAAGCATTTTGAGGACGTGGTTTAGTGGTGGAGAGCACTTTGGCAGAGCCAGGTTAAGGGTTGGACTCGATAACCTTAAGATATTTTCCAACCTAAATGATTCTGATTCTATGACCTCTTAGGTCTTTGGAAGAGCAAAAGACCTTTGGGAACTGAAAATCTTGGACAGTTCTCCTTTTTTGCTGAGGGTTCCTTCATGGTGATATTTCAGTCCCAGGTCTGTGGGATTAGGTCACTTAGCTCTTGGCTCTGCCCTTCTCCCTACTGCTTCACCACCTATAAAACCTCCAAAATAGGCACAAGGGGACCCTTTGTGCTGTGTGTCTTGTCCCAGAACTTTGCTCTTGGAAGCCTGGGATGCTCCTGGGATTTCAGTCCCGCTGGCTGGCAGCCCCACACCAGTCCTCCTGCTGCCCACCAGGTGAGAGAGCAGGATATGGCCCATCCCTACCTTTCTTATCCTGTTTGGGTCACACAGATGCCAGTCCTCAGTTTCCCAGCGGGTATCTAGGAAAAACCAGCCTGTTTCCCTGCCTGTGTCAGGGATGTAGGACCTCACACGGTTCTCTGAGGGCATTGGGCTGAGCATGGGGAGAGAAAGGTGCTGTCCCAATGAAGGTGACCCACACACAGCTTTAAGGAGGACACCAGTGTAGGGCCTTGATTCCAACTAAGTGCTCCTTGGGCAGTGGCAGCAGCAAGATGGGGAAGGGTCTGGATCACCAGCAGTGGCTGAGGGAACTTGGGAGGCTCAGCCTGGAGAAAAGGAGGCTTAGGGAGGAACTTCTAGCTCTCTACAACTGCCTGACAGGAGGGTGCAGCCAGGTGGGGGTCAGGCTCTGCTCCCGGGTAACAAGGGACAGGATGAGAGGAAATGGCCTCAAGTTGTGCCAGAGGAAATTCAGGTTGTATGTTGGGAAAATTTCTTTCCTGAAAGGGTTGTCCAGCCCTGGCACAGACTGCCCAGGGCAGTTCTGGAATCCCCATCCCTGGAGGGATTTAACAGCTGTGTGGATGTGGCACTTGGGGACATGGTTTAGTGGTTGGTTTGTCAGCGCTGGGGGAATGGTTGGACTCGATGATTTTGGAGAGATTTTTCAACATAAATGATTCTGTGAATCTATGGCTTCTGGGTCATTGCTTATCCCTGTGGTCCATGGACCTTCCACTCCTGATGGAAGGTGTGCAGGACTCTGCATGGCTTTTTCCAGCATCCTTTGGAGTGAGAACAACTCAGCTGCCTGGGTCTGAGCCCCCTCCTTTTCTCTGACTGCTCACAGAGACACTCGCAAGACCAGTGCTCAGGGGAGGTGATGGGCAGGAAGCCACCTGGAGCCACTGTGTCCACTGTCCTCAGTTCTTCCCTCGAGTTCATTCCCAGAAGCTTCAAACCCAAGGGGGCAGGTGGCACCACTGTGAAGATCGTCTTGAAAGAGAAGCACAAGAAAGGTAAGGGATGGAGAGGCTGAGAAATCTGTGGCTTGAGGCGACTTCTCCAGAACATTGAATTCCCTGGGGGATCTGTTTCAGCAGCAGGTTTTCAGCAGTAAGTCTTAATTCCCACTTCTCCACTGCCAGCCTCCTCCAGCTATCTCAGTCCTGGAGCCCAGAGCCTCTTGACTGCATGAATCTCCCACTTTCCAAAAAGAGCTGGGAGGAAATTGGTCCTTGGAGCATTTTAGAGATCTGGGACCTGGGAAGGGACGTACTCAGCTGGAAGGCTCCACATGAACCTTCCAGTACAGTGCCACAGAGGGACAGGATGTTCCTCCTTGCACCTACCTGCCACGTGCTGGGTCTGTCCTAGGTGTTCCTCCTGGAGGAGAGAGTAGAAAAGTGAGATGAGGAGGGAACCCCCTTGATCCAAAGGGGGAATAACAGGTCCTTTCTCCCCCTGGCGGCTCTCCCATCATTGTGCCTCCAGAAAAACTCTTTCCAGTCCTTGGAGACAAAGCCCTAGAGAAAATTTTGGGACCTCCAAAAATTTCCGTGGTGGAGTCAGCAGGTGGCACTCTTCACTGTGCTTCATTCTGCGACAGCCTCGGAGGGACCCTGGGCTTCCAGAGGTTGGGAGGCAGGTGAGGTCCTGCCCACACTTACCCCTCGCTCACACCAGGGTGGTCAAACCCAGCAGTCTCCACCTCCTGGTGCCTGGGCCCTCTGCCCCGTGACACCTCCTGGGTGGGGTGGCTGCAATATCCCTGTTCCCACTGCTGCCGGATCCACTGCCAGATCCTGCTCCTCGAGGCAGCAGGACCACCCACCTGTGAGGTGGTGAAATGTGTTGAGCTCTACCAAGCCTTGGGTTTACAAAGATAAGGAGGGTTCACTTCCATCAGCAAGTCTTTTCTGTCTCCTCCAGCTTGTGTTTACAACGGGAAGACCTATTCCCATGGGGAGGTGTGGCACCCTGTCTTTCGGCTCTACGGCCTCCTGCCCTGCATCCTCTGCACTTGCAGGGACGGCGTCCAGGACTGCCAGAAGATCACATGCCCCAAGGAATATCCATGTGACTATCCAGAAAAAGTAGACGGGAAATGCTGTAAAATATGTCCAGGTAAGTGGGATCCCACCTGCGCCTGCAGCTGGCTTCCAGATTCTTCCCTACCTTGGTTTAAAGCCCTGGGATAGATGTGTAGGGTTTCACATTCCTGGTGTCTTGAATCCACATCAGATGAGTTCATATGGAAGGGTTGGCTTGTCTTGGAGGGCAGCGGGACTTTCTCAAGGTGAGGAAGCTGCAAGGACCCTCAGAAGGTTCCATCTGTTGGGAGGCCGGAGTCTGGAGGAAGATGCTCGAGGAGAGACGTGCTCAGACAGACAGAAGGTGCTTTCTGGGGAGAGGGCACATGGTCTGTTCTCCAGAGCTCCCTGTGGGACAAAAAGCCAGAGGGTTAAATTGTGACAAGCGAGATGTAGGAGAAAGGAGGAGAACATTTCTCAGGAATGGAGTTATCTGTGGTATTCACGATTTGTTGGAATGGGAGCTCTCCATACCTGGAAATGGATGTTGGACACACAGCTGGAGTGGGCCAGGGGGAGCTGGGCTGGTGCTGGGACATGGGAAAGGGGCTGGAGCACAGGTCTGATGAGGAGCGGCTGAGGGAGCTGGGGGGGCTCAGCCTGGAGAAAAGGAGGCTCGGGGGAGACCTTATCACTCTACATCTGCTTGACAGGAGGGTGGAGCCAGGTGGGGGCGGGCTCTGCTACGAGGGAACAAGGAATAGGACAAGAGGAAATGGCCTCAAGTTGTGCCAGGGAGGTTTAGGTTGTATATTTGGAAAATTCCTTCCCTAAAAGGGTGTCCAGCCCTGGCACAGGCTGCTCAGGTTGGTGGTTAATCCCTGGAGGGATTTAACAGCCATGTGGATGTGGCACTTGGGAACATGGGTGGCCTTGGCAGTGCTGGTGGAATGGTTGGACTGGATGATCTTAGAGGACTTTTCCAATCTTAATGATTCTGTGATTCCATGGTGGAGAAGACCTCTTTTCTTTTTTAATGTTCAGTGTGTTTTGAGTGTCTCAGCTGTTCCTTGGTCTTTGGAAAACAATTTTCCTTAAACCACAGACCTGGTAAAGATGCGACAGGGAGTGAGATCTCCTTCTGTTCCCAATGGAGAATGTTTTCCAGGTTGTACTTGTCTGTACTGTCATTTATCAGGAGATGTTCAGCTGATGGACCACCCACTGCTTTCCTCTGGAGACTCTGAGTGTCTTTGAGCCTGGCTGGAGGTCTGTCAGGTTCCTTGTGATCTCCTCTGATAAGCATCTTCAAGGGGGCTTTGTGGAGGGGTCTCACCAGGGACAACAACCAAGGGGCACGTTTTGGAATGGGGGCAAACAGACTGCAAAATCATTTGAGCTGGGATTTTTGAGGCTTTCCAGCCTCTGAGCAGGGAGGTTCTGGGATGGCCTCCATGGGGGAGCAAAGGGCAGAAGCTCAGCTTGTTTTAATAAGGTTTCTGATATGTTTATGAGCAGGATTTATGATGTTGGTGCCTAGTGGGAATGGGATGTGATGACTGAGCAGAGCCCTTCCATTCTTGCATTCCCATTATAGTGGGTCTCTCTGCTTTCAAGTCGACAAATTTCCCTGCTTGGATCTCTTGTCTGCCGTTCAGTATTCTTTTTATTTCCAGTTAAACACCCTGATGCAGCCAAAATGATTTTGTTCTTGCTTTCCAGTTCTCCCAGACAGTGATCATACACACACACACACATTACTCAGCCAACTTACATCCTTGCCCTTTCCTTCACTGCACGGAGCTTTTGCCCATCTTCTTTCTCCAGGCAGTTTCTGTGACTGTTCTCCCCTTCCTCCTTTGTATCCAGTAGCCTGGATTTCTGCTTGCTAAAGGGATGCTGGTCCTGGGATTAGCAGCCATGCATTGTTTGGATGGGGAGGTCATTGGAGCTGCTGTGGGCAGAACTAGTGACCTCGACCCATGTCCCTGCTTCTCCTTCCCAACACTGTTGGGCCATTGAGTGGCCCCAGAGTGAAGCTCCAAAGCTGTTAAATTCCTGTTGAATGTGGGGTTCCTTCCCTGCCTTGAAGGTGGGGCTTTGATCAAGGACTCCATGATCTCAGAGGTCTTTTGCAGCTTTAACAGCTCCATGATTCTATGAATGCCCCGGAGCAGGTGAAGTTTAATGGTCTGGGGCAGAGATTTTCCTGCACCCTGAACCTGTGGTGGAAAGGATGAGGGTGCTGAGCTGTGGTTGTCCCCCTTCACCTCACGCTGAGCCTATAGAGCTGAATGCTTGTATTCCTGGTGCTTAACTCTTTAAACTGGGATTTCCATCCCCTTGTGGAGAAAAGGAGCTCAGGACCACCCCAGAAAGCCTGGGGGAGAGCAGAATCAGGCCTGAAATAACTGTCCTACTAAAATATACTCCACGCATCTATTTATAGCCAAGCTTTCTTTCGAGTAGCGTAAAAAGTTTCAGCATCCAAAATGGCTGGGAGAACAAGGCTAAATTCAGCAGTGCTGGGCTCCTCTGCCTTCCAAGGCTCACAACCAAAGACAATAAATCTCTTTCCAAAACCATGGGGGATTCTTAATTACTCCAGATACATTTAAAAAAAAAAAAATGAAATGTTAGCAGCTGTCCTTTACTGAGGATGTTGAAGAAGTCACGTAGGGCCCCGGTGTGGGTGGCACCCCACGTGGAGAGAGTGCTGGGGATGGTGCTGAGCTGGGCATGTTGCCCAGGCAACCCAGCCACAGCTCTGGATCCTACACTGCTGGCTCATCCCTTCGCTTCCCTGACGTTCCTCCTCTGGGACAGCAGTGGGAGTGAGATGGGAAGCGGGGAACTCAACCTGGGCTTTGTGGTGATGGTGGCACCAAGGTCCCTGCGGTGAGATCCAGGTGCTGAAAATCCCCTCCCCTGCTACCTGAGTCAGAGGGAATGGAAAACATCAGGATGAGCGGGTCCACAGGTCCTTTAATAACATCTCCCCTCACTGCTGGTGCTGGGGATCAGATCAAGGTCCTACTCAGAGACGCAGCTGTGCCTGATGGCACCAAACCCAAGGGGATGCCTTTTCCATGGCCCGGGAGCTCTTCCAAGCTCCTTCCTGCCCTGATTTAATGAACTCTGTCCTTGTTTTTGCCCAGAAGGTAGAGTCAAACCCACGGATGAAATAGTCACCACCCGGTGTGGCAAGAACCCCGGCCGTGTCCTGGTGTACATGTTTGTGCCACCGCGCTCGGAGAACTCCAAGGAGATCCTCAGGACAATGGCCATCGAGAAGGAGCTGGCGGAGGAGGTGGAAATCTACAACTGGAAGCTGATTAAGGGTGAGTACCATAACAAAACCAGCCAGGAGTGCAAGGAGCGTGTGGAAACCTGAAGCTTTCCAAGCTATAGTCAGTTTTTCAGGCTTTTCTAGCGGTGCTCCAGCCCTTGAGAGGTGAATCAAAACCTGCTGACAGCAGGGTGGCTTTTCTGGCTCCCTCATTTCACCCTCCTTTCCTGCAGTTCTGTGCAGACCAGGGACTGGAAACCACTTCTGGCCCCACCACGAGCTGCAACACTATCTGAAGGCACAGCATGTGGGCAAACAAGACAAGGGCCATGGGGCTGTTCCCCTGAACCTTTCATGGTTTCCATGCCAAATGCACATGGAAAACAAACAAACAAAAAATTGTTCTGCTCTCTCCATGGTTTTGTTTTTGCTCTTCTTTTTTTAACCCCAGTCCACCCACAACTTCCGAAGGGGGAATGAATTGTCCCCAGGCTACTTTTTGGATGGGTGGATTTGGATGCTCCCGTTGGTGAGTCCTCCAGAGGTCAAAGCACGGCAAATACACTGTCAAATGGCACCAACCTCTTGCTCTCTCCCCATGCCTTCAGCTTTGCAACACTGTTACGGACCAGAGGGTCCCTGGGACACCTGGTCCAGTAGATATTTTGTGTTGTGTTTCTCTTGAGCCCAGGAAAGCATTGTAGTGCCCCAACTCTGAGTTTCTGTTGGACCTTCTCTATCCAAAAAACTTGAGCATTTGAGGTTGGTTGTACCTTTCCTATGAATACAGTGACACTCAGCCCAGGTGTTCTGGACATGTGTAGGCAGATGTTCTGGGCTCTTGGTTACGGTCATGTCTCACCTCACTCCCTGGGGAGACCTCAGCCAGGCTCTTCCTGGCCAAAAAGGGTGGGCACACGTGGATAGTAGCCAAGAAAATAACTTCAGTGATGGATCCCTGGTTGCCACCATGTTTCCATCCTCCCCCTGCCGTTCTCCATGCTCCATGGTGCCCCTCTCCCCGTCCTCCCCCTCTTCTCCTTCACAATGGCACCTTGTAGCTAGAGGACAGCTCTGAGCCCACACTGTCTGGGCCCCACCGTTTCCTCTCCTCGCTCCTTGGCAGAAGTTGCCACCCAAACCTTCTTGGTACCTTCTGAGGCCAAAAGCTTCATGCCTGCATGGAGCCCCCGAGCCCTGCCAGCCAGGGACAGGGAAGGCCCTTGTCCCCGAGGCCAACACAGCTCTTTTGCTTGGCAGAGCGAAGTGTTGTTATTGGGAAAGAGTCACATATGGATTCCACCTCTCTGTGGTCCATCTACTCTACCAACAGTGCAGCATGTGTGGAGTAAAAAGGCTGCAAGTCACACCTGGACCTCATCCATCTGCCTTTGTATGGCTTGTGATACCTATATGGCCTGTGCTATTTCTGTCCTGGGACGTTTTTCTCCATGAAGCAGGAGCTGAGAGGAGAAACCAGTGCCAACACCCACCCAAAAGTCTTACCCAACTGGCTGGTGGAGCATGACCAGCCTCCAGAGGAGCTGCAGTGGGGGCTTCTCCATGTTTTTAGGGGCCTGAAAACCACCAGGCATTTTGAAAAGTGACTTTCCAGTGTTTTTGAGCAGGAGTTATCGTGGGGAGAGAGGACTATGAAGGAACAGGCAGGATCAGAGAGGGACCAGCATGGCTTGGAGGCTGTGCTGTTGATTCCTGCCCTACACCTGGATTGGAGGTGTGGTCCACCCATGGACCCCTTTCCGACATTTACCCTGCCAAGCTGTTGATTAGACAGTGATCAAAATACTCCTTTCTATCCTGAAAACTGGCAGCTCTGGGTCTGCCAGCCATCCCTGGGGTTTCACCATGCTCGTATTCCCTCACACCTGGTCTGGAGGAGACCTGCAGGGTCCACACCAGCCACCCCCACACTTTTCTGGTGTTTTCTCCTACTGTGGAGACTCTACAGCCCACCTACTTTCTTCCAGACCCACAGATTCCTTCCTAAGGGAAGACTTTTCCCAGTGTGCAGCTCAAGCTCCTACCTTCTCATCCTCTCCACTGCAGGTGTGAAGAGCACAGTCCTTTCCTCTGAAGATGCCATCAGCTCCCACCTCTGCCCTCTCTTACATGGTTTAAGCACTTGAATATTTTCAGTCTTTCCTTGATTTTGGAAATTTCTGGTCCTTTGTTCCTCCCCGTGGCTCTGCTCTGACTATGTGTCTTTCTTGGAATGCAGAGCCCAAACCAGGGGGTGGGTCTCTGACCAAAGGTTGTGTCCTGCTAGGATGGGCCTCATACACCCAGACTGCCACCTCCAACCACCCACCAAGGCTTTGTTTTGCAGGTGGTTCAGAATGTCTTGAGACCAGTTTCTTGAACTAGACTTGCTTCACTCCCCAGCTCAGCATTAAATACTGGTAATTTTGGATTCCCATGTGACCAGCAGAGAGAATTATGGTATATCCACCCATTTCAGGACGGGAAGGAAGGCACTGCAGAGGAGCCTCTCTCTCCAAAATTAGGAAGGATGAAGCTCCATTAATTCACTCCTTGTGCTCTACTGTGCTCTACTTCTGTTTGGATCCTGAGGCAGCACCTAAAGCATAGAATTTTCAAATCACAGACTGGTTTGTGTTGGATGGGACCTTAAAGATCATCCTGTTCTGACACCCTGCTGTGGACAGAGACACCTTCCACTAGATCAGGTTTCTCCCCATCCAACCTGATCTGGAACACTTCCAGGGATGGGGCAGCCACAACTTCTCTGGGCAGCCTGTGCTGGGGGCCTCACCACTCTCACCATAAAAAATTTCTTCCTCCTATCTAGACTTAATCTCCCCTTTTTTAGTTTAAAACTATTACCCATTGTCCTCTCTCTACAGGCCCTTTAAAAAAGTCTGTCCCCATCTTCCTGATAAATCCCCTTTAAAGCACCAAGGAAGGTGGTAAGTGCTCGACAGCCCCACCACCTCCCTCTATCTCACCCAAAACGTTGCAAGGAATGATCCTGCCTGTTGGATGTGATCAGGAATTGCCAGGAAGTGTCACTGCCCTTTCGCAGCTCCATCCCCTCCTGCCTCTCTGGTGGGTGCACTATTCTTATCTGTGCCGCCTTGTGCTCTCCTTGTGCCTGCTGGAGCATCCCCTGCATTCCTGCACTGCTCCCCACCTCCTGGCATCTGCCAGGGTAGGTCATCCCATGGCAGGCAAAGGTCTCAGCCAGCTCTGAGAGAGCTCTTGGAGGAGCATTATCTGGGCCCGTTGATTAAAAGCTGTTTATCTCTTGTAGCTCTTGTTTAAAATATCCTCTTCATTACTAATGTGCTGGAAAGTGCTTCATCAGCCATGGGCACTGCAAGCACAGCCTCCTGCCCCTTTCTAAGTATAGACCAGAAGGATTTATTGAACACTTGTGCCTTTCTTGCGTCATTAACAGTTATATTACCTCCATCCAGTATCTTCTTTTGTTACTGGTAGGACTTCTTTTCCCAACCCCCTGAAAGGACTTATTAATAGTCCAAATTCCCACATATTTCTCTGTATGTTTTTGACTTCCTGTATTAATTTTCCACAGTTCATAACATCTCATTTAGATGGACTGCAAGCCGGTCCCCTTTCATTTCATACTCTTTTTATGTGTAATTGCTGCTGGGAATCGGAGAAAGTGTCTTAACCAAATAAGGGGGACCACAATGCTTCTCTTGCGAAAAGCAAGAGGCTGGATGCTCTGGGAGCCCGGGGGAGAGGTGGGGAAGGATATGCCAGGCATACCTGCCTGGTTTGTCATGCTTAGGAATATCGTAACCCCTAATCCCACAGAAAGGTCACTTCCATTGCTAAATGCAGGTTCTGGTTTGCTTGGGTCAGATGCCTGAGTCAGGCACCTCCACTGATGAGATGGTGCTGGCACGGGCAGAAATATCAATCTCTGCTGAGGTCACTCATGTTTTTTCCCGTCCTGGAGGAATTTCAGGGCTGGTGACTGAGAGGTGGAAAACTTTGGTCCCTGGCTGCTTCCAGGAAAGGAAAACATCCTAGGATGGAGGGGTCTCAGCAGTCAGGGGAGATAGGTGGTCGAGAGGGAGCAAAGGGGACAGGGATCTCAGCATCTTCTTGGTCTCACCTCTATTTCTTTTATGGGTTTTTGGGGAGCTCAGAACTTCTTCAGCATGAGATGTTCTATGGAGCAACAAAATCATATTGTTTTCACCTGCTTTGTGGTGTCACTGCTGTGTCCTGATTTAATGAGCATTGAACCATAGGATCATGGAATGGTTTGGGTTGGAAGGGACTTAAAGCCCATCCAGGTCCACCTCCCTTCCATGGGCAGGGACACCTTCCACTAGGTTGCTCCAAGCCCTGTCCAACCTGGCCTTGAACACTTCCAGGAATGGGACAACATCTCTGGGCAACCTGTGCCAGGGCCTCACCACCCTCACAGGGAAGAGTTGCTTCCTAATATTCAGTCTAATATTCAAATGAGATCTCTCCTGGCCTTGGCCAGCCTTGGTTTCACTCCCAAACTCCCACCAGGCTTCACCAGCAGGTCCTGCACTGAGCCAGGACCCCAGGGTGTCCAGGGCAGGCAGTTTCCCCTTTGCATCTCAGGAGGGGACCGAACATCCAAACCTGTGTGAGCCTTAGATCAAGAATCTGATGCCTTGTGTTCCCCTCTGCAGGAATATTCCATCTGATCCAAACCAAGAAGATCAGCAAACAAGAATTCAAGCAAGAAGCACAAAACTTCAGGCTGATCACCCGGACAAACGAAGGTAGGGAGAGAAAAAAATCCCTTTTCCTCACTCTTCCAGCACATCCTGCTCCAAACAACCTGCTATTTTCCTGCTCTGCTCTGGCCATTGCAAAAAGACTGCTTAAATCCCAGCACAGCGTGGGGAGCTGATCCGTAGGGAAAAGGCTTGTGCAAGCTTAGTGGGGTTGGAACTGACCTGTTTTCACACCCATATGCAACACTCCTGGTTAACAGCCACTTTATGGTATTGGAAAGGGCAGCCAGCTTTCTAAAAGTGGATGCATCCTTGTGAAATCCAAAGGATTTGTCTCTCCATAGCCCATAAAACTGTTTGATTTTTATATCTAATCCATCTGGTCTTAAAGGGTTGGGGTGTGGGGGGTTAGGGGGGAGAAAAAATATAAATGATGCAAGGGATTAGAAAGAAAATAAACTGTTGAAGTGTTTTTAAAAATCACTCTGAGTGTTCTTGGATGTGCGTAAATGTTGCGAAAAGCAGGAATGCCAGTGCACATGCCGGGAGCGCCTGGACGGAGCGAAACTGCCGTGCTATTTCCTGCTGGCTGCCTCTCCTCCTGGGCTGTGTTGGAGTTTAGTGGGATAGGTCGGCATCAGAGCCATTCCCGTACTGTCCAGCACCCACAGGTCACTGGGTCAGTCTGGAACAGCGCTGCTGCCCAGTGCACCCAGGGCTCCGGGGAGGCTGGAGATTTGTTTTCACCCCCAGTCTGCTTGGGACAACATCTCTTGAGCAAACCCTGGGGGATTTTCCAGTCCCTGCTCCCAGGCTGGGTTTCACACCCTCATGGAGTAATGTGCCAGCTTCTTCTCGCCTCAGTTTCCCCTGGCAAATAACTCTGCTGAAAATCAGCAGCTCGCCGGTGAGGCTGGGGGGAATTGAGGGGGGTTCCTTCTCCTTCTGCAGCAGGATTTTCCTGTACCATAGGTAGAAGAGCCAAGGCTGAAGCAGCAGCAGGAAACTGAATATAAATGTAGGGGTTTTGAGCAAGCCACCCCGAAGAAATGGGGCTGACAGAAGGGCGGAGAGAAACCTGCCTGCCCACTGCCCATGAAACTGAAATTTTGGCTTTCTGAGGGTGAGACAGAGGACAAGCAAAATGCTTCTTCCCCCTGAGAGGCAGGGAATCATCCCAAATCCCAGACATGCCAGGCAGGACATGGCCATAGATCATGTCCAAGCATCCTTTGAGGAGGTAGAGAGAGGGATTTATCCCTATTTCGGTCTGAGCTCCTTTTCTTTTAAGTCCGTGTGAGGGTTGACCAGGAAAAGCATTGGAAGTGCCGTTGATTGTGCCATTAATTGCATTGCAGTGGGTAAGAAGGTCCCTTTGACTTCAAATACCATTTTAACTGCAAGGTGACCAAGTCTAGAGCCGGATGGTGAATCACTGATGCGCTGCTCTGGCCATGGCTGGTGCTGTGGGTAGATCTCTATCCCAGCCTCTCTCCCAGCATAGTCCTTGCAGATCCTCCAGCTCAGAGGGTGCTACACATGGGGAAAATTGTGCTTTCCTTCTCTAGGGTTGTTGCTAATGTGTGTCCCTCTCTGCTCGTCCAGGTCACTGGAACATCTTCCGAGCCCAGACGTCAGAGCTGAGGATGACAGAGAGCCCAGAGAAGGAAACAAAGAACTTGTAAAGCAAAAAAAACTTTACCCTCGCTTTTGATTTATCTGCACCCCCACACATACACATACATATGAGAACCAGAGCTGCATTATTAAATAGACTGGCACTTCAATAAAGGATGCACTAGTGTAAGTTCCAGAAACTCCAGATCCCAGTTGATCCGTGTCCAAGCCGCAGCCATGGAGGTGCCTCTCTCCAGCCTCTCTCCCTCTTCTGCTATCCTTGGATATGCAGAGGGAAGAGAGTGAAACGGCAGAGGTGTGAGACCTGGTGTGACATGAAGAGGTGGGATACATCCCCGACACCCCGGCATTCTCAAAGAGCACCAGGAGCAAAGCTTGACTGCGCATCTTTCCAATCACCGCCGCAAAGATGACCTGCAAGGAAAGAAAAATCATCCTTGTTTCTTTTCCTGGAGCCCCTGTGATCTGCAAAGGGTTTCTTTGGCTGAAAACCCTCCAAAGGGTGTTTTGTGAAAAATCTTGTGTCTTTTCTCCTCTGTTCCAGCTGGGAGGATCCTTTTCCTTTCTTTGCAGATCGTGTGAAGATGCAGTTTTTGGGAAGACCCACCTGCTGACAGGGTCTGAGACCCTGAGCACTGCGCTAAGGTTGCTACTAAGCAGGTTATTATGCTATATATTTATATATCCTACATAATATCTACTGGGCTGTATTCACTGGAGGGGCATCTCCCAGAGGGTCGACAGGACCATTTCTGCAGCGTGGGGAGGAGGGTGTGCAGCAGCATCACCTTCCCCCTGTCAGGAAACAGTTTTGGGGGATTTTCAAGTTGGTTTTGGTACATGTATTTATCCTTGGATTCTTGTTTTATTCTGTTTTGATAAATCTATTTATTTGGAGATCCAAATCTGTCTGATAAATCTGATTAAAGCATCTTCTTGATTCAGCTTCCTATGCTGGTTTTCCTTTCCCTCTAGGGTCTGTATTACACCTCTGGGAGGGACCCCCATCCTGGTGGGGTCTGACCCCCTTGACCCCTCAGAGTAGGGATACAGGATCCCATGGATGCTTTGCTCATCAGCAGGGGATCATCCCTCCCCATTTCCTTGTGGTCTGCACATGGTTTTGGGATGAAAACAGAGTTTGGGGCTGGTGGTGGGCATGGGGGGCAGAAGATAAACCCAGGCCAGGAAATAGGAAGTCCTGGAATGCTGGCCAGGAGCCCAAGTAAGCTGCTAAGTGAGTGCAGGAGTTCTGTCTTGGACAGGCCTGTGGGACTATGACAGGATCAATGTGAGCAGCTCCCCCTACATGCTTTCCCCTTCTCTCTTTGTTATGCTCCAAAAAAACAGGGTTGGTGGATACAAAGTGGATGTAAACAGGTGCCAAAGCATGGAGGAGTGAGAGAGGACCCACAGCAAGGAGCAACCAGGGACAACTGGAGCAGCCAGCAGGCACTGAGCTGCCAGCACTCACCAGAGCCAGGCAATGATCCTGGGGCTGAGCTGGTTCAGCTTGTCCAGGAAAAATCCCACTGATGGGCGTTAGGGGTGTTCCCCATGGCATGAGGTGAAGGGAGAGGGGCAAAGCCACCCCCTTGCCTGCGTGGCTGTAGCTGCAGGGAGGATGCTGCCAGCCCAGGGCAGAGCCTAAGCCCTTGCTCGTCAGCCTAATTAACTCACCCTTGCTGATGTAATTGGAGCTGAGCAGAGGTGCAATTTGTGCTCATTTACCAGAAGCAGCAGGAGTTTCAAAAAACCCTGCTCTGTTGGGTTCATGGGGAAGGCTGGGAGAAAACCAGCTAGAATTCTCATCCAGATGACTTTTCCTGCAGGTATCTCAGGGTTACTGAGCCCATACAGGTTGTTCCGAGGTTATTCTGGGGCCATATATGTTGTACTGGGCTCATGTAGATTGCACTGAGCCTATACAGGTTTTACTGAGTCTGTTAAGTTCTACTGAGCTCATAAAGGTTATACTGAGCCCATCTGGGTTGTACTGGGCTCATGTTGGTTGTACTGGGCCCATAAAGGCTGTGCTGACCCTGGCCACAGTCACACCCCTTGGGTGCAACTCAGCTGAGTGCTATGCACACAGAACTCTTCTACCATGTCCAGGAGAGCGGTGGATGTTTCCAGATGTTCCATGACCAGGAGAAACCCTTTGGAGAGCAACAATAGAGGAACCTGCTGGGCGTTGGTCATTTCTCCCAGGTAAGTGGTAGGGCAGGAGCAAATGGCCTCAAGTTACACCAGAGGAGCTTTGGGTTGAATATTAGGAAAAATTTCTTCCTCCAAAGGTTTTCCAGCCCTGGCACAGGCTGCCCAGGGCAGTGGTGAAGTCTCCACTGTCCTGGAGGAATTTAACAGTCGTGTGGATGTGGCACTTGGGGACATGAGTCAGTGGTGGCCTTGGCAGCGCTGGGGGAATGGTTGGACTCCATGGTCTTAGAGGGCTTTTCCAGCCTTAATAGCTATCCCTCACTGAGCAATCCTTACCCTCAGCGTGGTGCTTTGTATTTCTTCCCAAAAGCACCACGTGTCTGAAGTGACCACAGAGCTGCATGCCCCCAGTGCTGCATTGCCTGGAGCCCTGGGTGAGCTCTGCCTTGAGCAGGGGGGTTTGGGGATTAACAGTGATGTAAAAGACAGAGTTCCCGTGGAGAGAGGTTCATGGGGCACAAGATGGAGATGGAAAAGTACCTCATCCTAAGGAGCTTCCCACCAAGGGACAAAGCTGCTACCTGGTCCCTCCCTGGGAAACATGCATGGCATTGTCCTGGTGCAGATGCTCAGAGGTGTGCTGGGGTGGCTCTGCTCCTTCTTCTGCTGTTGTCCTTGCGCTGAAGGTGGTCTCAGCAAACAGGGCTTGGCGCTGAGTTGGTGTTGAGTGCACCCATCACGAATGGGAGATGTGAAAATCTCCAAAGATGCTGTTTGAGTGATGTAGCTGTTCCATCCTCCCATAAGTTTCTTTATTGCCCAGACCCATCACATCCACTTTCCCTGGCTGCCTCCAAACATCATTTCATCATTTGTGGTATCAGCTTCTCCCCCGCCATCAGGCATCACGCCCCTGCCAGCTCTCCATTGGTGGGAGTCAGGCTTTCTGCTGCCTCTCAGTTACCCCTTTACTGCAGCCCTGCTTTGGAACACTGTCATAAAAGGCACCCCATAAATTTTATATGGAACAGTAAAACATTTTCGCTTTGGCTGCAGTTCCCTCTCGCTTGCTCCGGCAGCACAGAACAAAGGCATGAGCTCCAGGCTCCATATCTCGGCTGTCAGCTCCTGGCACACGAAACTGGGATGACATTGCTTTTTGCTGGTTTGGTTGGGGGAACAAGCCTTGCACTGGTCCTGGAGCAGCACTGCTGTCTCCTGTCTGAGGGATGCAGCCATGGGGGGCACAGGACAGCTGGTCTCCAAAAGGAGACCCAAAAGCCTTTGCTCTCTGCAATGAGGCAGGAAGGGCTCCACCCTAACCCTAATTACGAATTAGGGAATCACAAACTGATTTGGCTTGGAAGCAACCTTAAAGCTCACCCAATCCTACTCCCTGCCATGGACAGGGACACTTTCCACTAGACCAGGTTGCACCAAGCCCCTTCCAATCTGGCCTTGAACACTTCCAGGGGTGGGGCAGCCACAGCTTCTCTGGGCAACCGGTGCCAGGGCCTCCCCACCCTCACAGGGAGGAATTTCCTTCCAGTATCCCATCTAACCCTGCCCTCGGAAGTGGGAAGCCATTCCCCCTTGTCCTGGCACTCCAGGCCCATGTCTAAAGTCCCTCTCCAGCTCTATTGGAGTCCCTTTAGGCACTGGAAGGGGTTTAGTTCTCCCTTGGAGCCTTCTCTTCTCCAGGTGAACATCCCCAGCTCTCCCAGCCTGTCTCCAGAGCAGAGGGGTTCCAGCCCCTGGAGCATCTCCATGGCCTCCTCTGGACTCACTCCAGCATCTCCACATCCTTCTGCTGTTGGGACTCCCACAGCTGGAGGCAGCACTGCAGGTGGAGTCTCACCTGAGCAGAGTAAAAGTGACCCCTGAGCCAACAGAGATAGGAGGGGTGGGCTGAGCTTTCCCTTCAGAAAACAGAGGTGCAGCCATGGGTCCCTACTCATCATCCCTGTCCATTATTGTCCAGCCAGCCAGCAGTCTATCCACATCCATACTTTTCCAGACATGAGCTTTTGGGTCCTTTGTCTTTCTGTTCCGTGCAGAGGCATGGAAAAGAGAAGAGCTTCACCTTGGTTTACCCCAAATGCTGACCAGTATCAAAGGCCTCCGTTTCTCCCAGGACTGTACAGAACCATCCCAGAGGAGCTCTGGGAACACAACCAGGGCCACGTGGGCTGGTGACCACTCTCTGCTGACAGCCCCTAATGACCAGGAGCCTGCTCTAATGACCACACCTCCCCGCAGGGGATCTCTCAGAGGCCGCCTTCCCCGCGGGGGTGTCTCTGGGGATTAACCTTTTTAATTGGATCAGCAGCCACAGATCAGAAGCCAACACTTCTCCGTGGGTGGCATCGCCTTCCTCGCCCTGCTCCTCCTCCCTGCGTCCCTTTGCCTCGGCAGGGATCACCCCATTCCCACCCCGAGCTGTGAAGGTGGGGCTGGTTCGGGGGCAGAGCTGACACAGTGTCATGGGACCTTTCATATCTTGCAGCACTGGCTGTGTTTGCACATCCGTGAGAGAGGAGAAACCTCAGCTTTTGGATGCAGAGATGATCATGGAAGTGTAGAATTGGGTTTGAAAAGATCTCCTCGCTCTCCACAAGTCCCTGACAGGAGAGTGGAGTCAGGTGCGGTGGAGGTTAGGTTTTTCTTCCAGGTGACAGGACAAGGGGAAATGGCCCCAAATTGTGTCAGGGGCTGTATTAGGTTGGATATTAGGGAAAGTTTCTTCCCCAAAAGGTTTTTCAGCCCTGGCACAGGCTGCCCGGGGCAGTGGTGGCGTCCCCATCCCTGGAAGGATTTAACAGCCACGTGGATGTGGCACCTGGGGATATGGGCCAGTGGTGGCCTTAGCTGTGCTGGGGGAATGGTTGGACTCAATGATCTTAGAGGGCTTTTGCAACCTAAATGATTCTATGATAAGCTCAGTTGTGAACTGTTTGGGAAAAGATGAAGCTTTCCAAGACCTCTCTGCATCACCTGGCTGATGCATCAGAAGGAGTTTCAGCCAGCCTGGGCCTTTGCTGGTATGGATAAAACTCATGAGAAGAAATCCAACACCCACTGGTTGCACCACCAAGCTGGAGGAGTGTAGCGGGTCTTGATGCCATCCCATGGAGGCAGCCTGATGTCTTCAGAGCAAAGAAACCTCACAGCAAAATACCCAAACCCAACTTTGGGATTTCAGATATCTTGTCCAAGAGAACCTGGCATGGAGTCAGACAGCATCTCTGACCCGAGCCAGGAGGAGAGGGGCACATCAGCTCTTCTCAATCCTCAGGGACATGTCATGATTTAATTGCTGCTTCTACAGGATTTGC